TGAATAAATGTAAATTTTCTTTTCCTCTAACCTCAGTATAATGTGTATTATAGTAGTGTTTATAAGCGCAGCGCTACTTTGTTTTAGTTTTGTGCAGGTGTTTTATGCAACTAGCTAGCAATTTGCTTTTAAGCTATTTTAAACGTTCAGACAAGGCTTTGTCAAGCCAACATCAAAGCTGGTTCACAAACTTTACTCATCTAGTTATGGTTTAGTATTAGACATTAAATTATTTACCTATTATCACTGTAAAGCCGCTTTGGAACAATCTAGCGCTACTGTATATCAAATGAAGATGACTTTAACTTTCTAACTTAAGTATTCCTGAATGAATCAATATTGAAAAATGAAACTGAAATCAGTGTCAAAAGGCATCCCTAGCAGACAAAAACACTGTTGTTTCATAAAATCACATATGATATACATAAAAGCCTCTCATGTATCCTTAATGCAACAAAAGGTAATCCCACAATGCTTTGCAACACCGACAGATAAGCATTGAAGATGACAGAAATCAAAATATTGAAAACTACTTTACCCAATATGGTGTGAGCTTAAAGCTATGCTTAAAGTATCTAGAGCGGCTGCCACTTGTGTTGCTATGGTAACACCGTCAGACATGCTTTCGGTTACTAAAGAGAGGGATGTGGTGCTGTGTCCGCCACTGAATGTGAGAGGACGGATGACAGATGGCCAGAGTGTAATTTGGTAGTTGTGTTATCTTGCAAACAAGTACTGGCGGCATCCAATGTAGCATGTCCATTGCAGCATGTTTAATATGACAACTCTCACTTGTTTAGTGCCTCCTGACCTGTACAAAAATTCTGTTACATGGAATTTCCTACCATTGGAGAAAGCTTTTTGTCAGTCTACAGTTAAAACAATTGTAATCTTGCAAGGTAAACTACTTTTAATCTTGACAGGGTCTTATTCCTGCTACAGACAGATTTCGACAATCCTATACGATCATTACCAATCAAACCGTACGGCATGGATCTAATAAATGTAGCCTACTGTATGTAGACTGTACTCTGATGACAGCTATTGAGTCATAGGCTACGACGCAAGTTAGTATAGAAGAATAAAACATCAACATTCGCTAGTGGTAAACAAATGAATCGCACTTCGGCAATTGTGGTTTTTAAGTGGACTGTAAAAAGAAGACCCCGCAAAAGAGGAGAATATGGACGCAGTCATTGCTAAGGAAAAGAAGCCAACTTGGCATGCCAATTTTGCTAATGAGGCTTGAGGTAAGTAGTTTTAAGTTTTAGAACCACGTCGTGTTGATCAATAGGAGCCACAACCACAGAAATCCCCACGATTGGTCAACTTCAGTCTGTCTGAGACGGCCACAATCGTACAATGTGGATCGGGCATTTCGGACACTTCGCAAGATGTGACACAATTGCAGAGATGTGTTATAATATTAATAAAAACAAAAAATAAATTGTAGACAGAATTCCAGAATGTGCATTTTTTTTAGAAAATTATATACAGGTGAAACTCGAAAAATTTCAATATAAAAGTTGAAACTAAGGGTGAAACTAATATATTACTAATAGACTCATTACATGCAAAGTGAGATATTTCAAGCCTTTATTTGTTATAATTTTCATGATTATGGCTTACAACTTATGAAAACCTTTTACAGTATTCTAATTTTGAATTTGGGAATTATCATCAAAATTATAACAAATAAAGGCTTGAAATATCTCTCTTTGCATGTCTATATAATACATTGGTTTCACTTTTTAAGTTGAACTACTGAAATAAATGAACTTTTGCACGATATTCCAATTTTTCGAGTTTCACCTGTACAGTATGTGATGAATGCAATGAACTCAACGCGTAGCCGAACATGTCTTTCGTGTTTTCTTGAATTAAAGAGTGGGCGGCTTTGATATCAGGGCAGAAGGAGAAAAGGAGAGACAGAGACTGGGGGCTTCCAGATGATTTTGTTACATAACCATCTGTCACGTCTGGTTCAATAGAACGTGGACACACATGATTCCCTCAAAGACAAATATAGCTGAACATACACGTCTGTACAGGCCACAACCAAATCTGTGCAAGGGAAGTTGAGACCGCTATAATATGGGTATTTTGGAGAAATTTAATATTAAAAAGATGAATTCACTCAATTTAAGTTCTGTCATTGTGCTTTATAAATAAATAAATAACATTAAAATAAAACGTAACCACAATTCATGCACAATCATTATTTGTATTTGGTTACATATATATTTTCATTTTTATTTTGGCACAGGTAAGCCATATTATCTTCAGTACAAATGACTATCGCGTACATTTTTTATCATGTTTATGTATACATTTATATATTTTTATACTTGAATATGATACTGGACTGTTAGCAAAGATTTTCTTTTATTTTTATATTTAGCATATTTGCTAGTGTGTTTTGTGTATTTGTGTACTGGATGCCTTGAATTTCCTTCGGGATTAATAAAGTATCTATCAATCAATCAGTAAATCATGCATATTTACATTTCACGTTGTTAATTAATATTAATCAGTACTTAAATGTATAATTACACTTCAAAAGGATACCTTTAAATAAAGAGCAAATGCCCATTTGCCTTTAACAATAAAGATATAGATATTAAAGAATTGTAGATTCCACACCAGGTCCACGACAGCCTTGAATTTTCTTCAGGATTAATAAAGTATATTTCAATCAATCAGTAAATTATTCATAGTTACATTAATATTAATCAGTACCTAAATGTATAATTACACTGCAAAAGGATACCATATCCATAACCATATTGCCTATAACAATAAAGATATAGATATTAAAGGGTTAGTTCACCCAAAAATGAAAATTAAGTCATTAATTACTCACCCCCATGCTGTACCAACCCCGTAAGACCTTCGTTCGTCTTCGGAACACAAATGAAGATATTTTTGATTAAATTTGAGAGCTGTATAACTACCACATTGGCTCCTAAGGGACTGCCTCTTGACGGCCCAAAAAGTCAATGAAGAAAATGTTTAAATATCCCAAGTGACTACCGTGGCTCAACTATATGTTTATCAAGCGACGAGAATACTTTTTGTGCGAAAAAACAAACAAAAATAACGAGTTTATTCGACTATTTCTTTTCTTCCTTGTAGGCCAGAACGAGACTTCCTTATAGATTTCCACGACGCATGCGCGAGAATTGCGATCTGAAGTAGTGTAAGCTGGTGTAAGCAGATCGCAAATCTCGCGCATGCGTCGTGGAAATCTAAGGAATTCTCGTTCTGGCCTACAAGGAAGAAAAGAAATAGTCGAATAAACTCGTTATTTTTGTTTGTTTTTTCGCACAAAAAGTATTCGCGTCGCTTGATAAACATATAGTTGAGCCACGGTAGTCACTTGGAATATTTAAACATTTTCTTCATTGACTTTCTGGGCCGTCAAGAGGCAGTCCCTTAGGAGCCAATGTGGTAGTTATACAGCTCTCAAATTTAATCAAAAATATCTTCATTTGTGTTCCGAAGACGAACGAAGGTCTTACGGGGTTGGTACAGCATGGGGGTGAGTAATTAATGACTTAATTTTCATTTTTGGGTGAACTAACCCTTTAAAGAATAGTAGAGTTCACACCACAACTATAACGGCCCAGAGAAATGATTTTGCTGGATATCGTTGAAGAAAAATAAAACTTTCACGGCTAATAAGAAACCATCCAGCTTTCTAAGCTCTAGCATTTAAAAGAGGCCGATGACAAAACTGAACCATATCGTCCGCTGGTGTGGACGCTAATATAAATATCGTTATAGTTTACTTCATTTCGTCGTCATTCTTGAGCGAACTGGACTCATTTCAATCACAAACAAATCGGATAGTTTACTTTTCACATAAACATGCAGAGCTATAAGGTGGATATCAAGATTTTCTGTGCATAATGACTCAAATCTCAGCCTGTTTGTCACACAAAACTTGTTTTGCTTTTATGGTGTTTCTTTGTCATTTTGGATCTTGATAATAGAGCCAGACCGATATATCGGCCGACCGATATTATCGGCCGACCGATATTATCGGCCGATATTAGACATTTTCCAAAATATCGGTATCGGCAGTTATAATGGCCGATAAATGAATACTTAAAAAATAAAATAAAAACGGACAAAACACGCTTTAATCATCTCTCCTTGGCCTGTTATTTTGAAAATGTATGTTTTACAATTTGCAGTATGATGTTATCTATTGCTAAATTATGGCTCATCATAGACTAGCTAACCACAAAGCAGGCTAATGCCACTATCATCAGTGGTAGACCGCTAATGTTAACATTAATGAGCTTGGAAACCACAATGAACTTTTTCTGCCTAAATAAAGTAACGATTACTGTATTTATAACTAGCATATCTCTAGTTACAGTCCCTGCATTGTAAAATGCAAGTTATACTTGCGAGGAGTGAGCATTTAGACAGAGAAAAATTATCAAACGTATCTTGTGCAGAAAAGTTAGCTTTTCTTTTACACGTGTGTGAAATCCAACAATATCTAATAAAAAAAAAATATCGGCCGATATATCGGAATATCGGATTTTAAAACCCAAAAATATTTGTTTCGGTATCGGCCTTCAAATTTCTTTATCGGTCGGGCTCTACTTGATAACCCCATTCCTCTTTCTCCTCGACTGTATGGAAAAGATTTGCGGATATTCTCAAAATGCCATTTTTTATTCCACAGAAGAAAGTATTATGGGTTTGGAAAGACACAGTAAAAACTGATTTTGGGAGAACCGCTCTGTTGCAGGCCGGACTAAAACCTGTTCACCTGCATGAGCGCCACAGCTCAACAAGCGAACTGTTTTGTTACAGAACATTACATTATCAAGTTCACCTCATTCAACTACAAAGATTTTAATAGCCGGGCCCTGACTGCTTTTCGTAGTTGGGCATTACACCATTTGCAAAACTTGAAAACTGCATAAATGATTTTTCATGAATAGTGCTGGAATGAGGCCAAGGGTGCTGGATCATATTACCTCTCATACAGTCCTCGATCCTGTGCACCAGCTGGTAGGACCTGCAGCGATCCAGCAGAGTTCGGATGGCTGGAAGTGGGTCAAGAATAATGGTCTCTGGGTGAGCGTCAATGTAATCCTGCAAGACCAGAGGAACGGGGCAGAACAATGAAGGTGAGGAGGACACATTGAGAAGGGAAGAAGCTAAAACAGCAGTGAACATGTTCCAACATCACGTATTGGTGTTGATAGACACATGAAGCCCAGTTGCACTGCTATTACGTCAGGCTAACTGAATGCAAAGCTGCGAGGTTGTTTCATTTACATAACCACTCGCTCTCTCTCTTTTCACTGTCCCCATTCACTCAACCTCTCAAATCATGAGTAATTTTCCTGAAATACATTGTTTTGTCATGTGATTTCCCATTTCTATCACTTATTGACTGGGAAATTGTGTCACGGATACCAGCATATTGATTCTTAGATCAAATCGCCTCCAAAATATGAATGTATGAAGACTAATATTCTTCCAGTACTGATTAAACGGGCAAAAAAATGTAAACAACAGACTCATCTACAGTTTTTCAGAGGGTTTAAACTGAACACTGTGCTTCAGATCATTCTGTGTGTTGTGTAAATCTATGTAATATACATCTAAGCGCATGCTTAGTGAGAGCAGGGTCTTAGGGGAGAGCTTTGTTTAAGAACATTAAGAGGCTCAGCGCTCTTACGTTCTCATTTAGAGGTGACATTTCATAAGACCACAAAACAAAAACAAAGTTGTAGGATGGGAATCTGAATTGAAGTAGAAATGTCTGTAGTTTCACCAATAAGTTATAAATTCTTTTGAATTTTATTTTTTTTATTATTTTTATATATATATATATGTATGTGTTTTGTTGTAAACAATAATGTACATTATGTGATGGAACGTGATGTGCAATTTATGTGTGTGAATAATTTTACCCCTGTTTTGTATGTTGGTAATAGCTGGGCTTGTTTGTTTATTGTTTGTATAAAATCAATAAAAATATATACAAACTTAGTAAATAAAAATCTGTAGAGTATAATTAATACTTTTACTCTTAGATTTTTTTTCAAATAAATGATCTTTTGAATTTTCCATTTAAAGGATCCTGATCGTTTCCACAAAATTTTTGAAACAAATCACAGTATCCATGAAAATATTCAGCAGCCCAACTAGTTTCAAAATTGATAATAATAATAAATGTTACTAGAGCAGCAAATCGGCATATTAAAATTATATCTGAAGGGAAAAAATAAATGTCTGTAGTCCACTCTTATAACTGATGAAAACGAAAACTTGAAAAAGCAGTCAAAAATGTTAACCAAAAAAAAAAATATATTCAAAAATTAAAAAAAAAAAAATGTATAATATTATAATATATTATAATATACACTCACCTAAAGGATTATTAGGGAACACCATACTAATACTGTGTTTGACCAAAATAGCAGCAGGAATCCCTCCGTCACAAACATTCTGATGCCTGTACCAAACTATGGTATGTTTTATAAAACTATAAAACAGGTATGCTTGAGCATATTAAATATGCATTCATATTTGATTCAGCCACACCAGAGTTTGTTTGGAAGCGGACCGAGACCCATCTTTTCAGCGGTCTCGTTTGTTTGGCGCACCAGGGTTCGGATTGAAGCGTTCACACTTATTCAAATGAACCGCACTAACAGAGCAATCGCATCAGGGTTCGTTTTAATCCAACCAAACACGCCAAGTGTGAACTCACCCTAAAAAGCAAAAGATTTCCCATAATGATCACTGTGCTGAGATTATTGCATTCGTTTTCCTTTTACTTAAACCTAACTGACACAGAGATTAAATTCAGGTGGATCAAATTCTCGCTGCTTAATCAGATTGAGATTCCTGCATCTTAATCAGAGCTGTAGATCTGCTCTACAAACACACACATGCTCAGACGAGCCTCACCTGCACACGCTGGACCAGCAGCAGCGACTGGGTGTCATTCTGGTCCGCCTCCAGGATCAGGTCCGTCAGCTTGTGAATGATGACATCCAGGGGACCCTGCTCCTCTAATGGCTGACTCAGGTCAAGCTGAAGGGAAGGGAAAGGTGAAAGGTCATCATTTACACTCCAATGATGTTAAATACCACTGCAGTTTAATACAGATTAACATTACATGTACTGAACAAATTCATGTATATACTGACAGCCAGTCTGTGTTTCCAGGATGTCTTTGTGGATCCTGGAATAACATTCCAATCAACCAATCAGATTTGAGGGACAAGTTTACAATTTATATCAAGTTTAGGCTTACAACCAGTGTTATTCCCTTATCATTATTCTCTGATTTTAGGGATAACTTACGGGTAGAGTTGGGTTTAGGGGTTGGGAAAGGGTTAAGCATAATCCCGGTGACCGACATATGAATGTTTTTGTATAATTTGAGTTCAAGAAAAACAGAATGGAAAAAGAAAACACTGCCACTGATGCAGTCAGGACTGTAAACTGCATTAATGCGTTTTGCTCTGGCCAAATGAATTATTACAGTTATTCAAAACTGGTTCCTCTTTTTCTTGTACTGGAATGTTTAAAGGAGTTGTTCACTTTTTTAAAAAAAACTTTTGCTGATAATTTACTCACCCCCATGTCATCCAAGATGTCCACGTCTTTCTTTCTTCAGTCGAAAAGAAATTAAGGCTTTTGATGAAAACATTCCAGGATTTTTCTCCATATAATGGACTTCAATGGGAACCAAACGGTTCATGGTCCAAAAGACAGTTTCAGTGCAAACTGCAAACTGTTCAAAGGGCTTTAAACGATTCCAGATGATGAATAAGGGTCTTATCTAGCAAAACGATCGCTTATTTAAAAAAAAAAAAAAGTTTAAGTTTTATAAGCTCAAATGCTCACCTTGCTCTGTTCTGTGATGCGTGTTCGTTACTCTCCTGTTCGAACTCGTTCATCAAAATGAACAAATCTTTTCCCCGAGTCAACTCGTTCATTTCGTTCGTTGAATGAACCAAATGGCACAAAAAAAGATTCGTTCATTTTGATAAACGAGTTCGAACAGGAGAGTCACGAACGTGCATCACAAAACAGAGCAAGGCGACCATTTGTGCTTACAAAACTTAAACTGTTATTTTTTTTTTTAAATGAGCGATCGTTTCGCTTGATAAGACCATTATTCATCGTCTGAAATCGTTTAAAGCCATTTGAACAGTTTGCAGTTTGCACTGAAACTGTCTTTTGGACCTTGAACCGTTTGGTTCCCATTGAAGTCCATTATATGGAGAAAAATCCTGGAATGTTTTCATCAAAAACCTTAATTTCTTTTCGACTAAAGAAATAAAAACATGGACATCTTGGATGACATGGGGGTGAGTAAATTATCAGCAAAAGTTTTTTTTTTAAAGTGAACTACTCCTTTAATTCCCTTTCTATACCTTAAACAAATCACAATCGCAAAAAATGTCCACTTTACTTAGTGATTGATTAAACAAGGGGCATGTTTAAAATAAATTTACACAATAACCCTTAAATTATATATATATAACAAAAGTGCAATACACTATTTAAGGCTGAGAGCTGTGGGACACACAACCTATTTCCTTGTATGGCTGAATGTTTAAACCCATCTGACTGCCCAAAGTAGCTTTATATATCGTTGTTTTTTTCCCTTCCAATGTTTCCAGCACGGATCGTCCCCCGAGTGGTCGGATGTCGATGTCAAGAGCGGCTCCAGACTACACACAGCTCAAATCCCAAGGTGGTGATGTGCTGACAAACCTGTTCTAGCTCATGATAATCTCATGCTTACTGTACACGGACAGCCCGTTCCACCACAAGCCCATATGTGGACAGTGGAAACACCACAGACAGCCTACTATTGTGTGTTTGTCTTAGCCAGTAAACAAGGTACAACAACCCCAAATCTCTCTGTCAAACCGTTTGTTGGCTAAACAGCAGCTACTGCCTCGCACTAAAGGGGCCGTAAAGTAACAGGAGACAGATTACTAATATACAATACTACATTGAAGACTTGGATAAGACTTTATGAAAGAAAACCACTACAGTGATATAACCAGATCAGATTGGTTCTTACAAGTATTTCATCATAAATTTATCAGGAAATCTAATCTCATGTACTGTACTCTACAGTTTGCTGCACAGTGCATTGTACGTTTGGGAGCAGAGCTTTATTAGAGGTCTGTTATAAATTAACAATACAACATTCATTTGATATAACGAAAGAGTTTCGTTCATAACACATAAAACACTACAGAACTTCTATGACCAAATATAACAGGTAAAAAAAATACATTATAATTAAAAATAATCATAATAATAATCAGCCGTTTCAGTCCTCTACTTCAGGGGTTTTCAAACTCCAAAAAATATAAGAGCAGCTTTATAATATTGTGTATATAAACCAATTATACAGTGAAAAATACAACAACAAAAAAATATAAAATGTAATTTAATAATATATATATATATATATTGCTTTGCTTTCATATATATATATATATATATATATATATATATAAGGACTGTCAAACGATTAATCGCAATTAATCGCATCCAAAATAAAAGTTTGTGTTAACATAATATATGTGGGTGCACTGTGTATAATTATTATATATAAATAAAACATACCAAAAATTAATTTCAAAGTAAACTATCGCTTTAATAACCCTGTGTCGATCCGACTGTCCGTGGTTGGGAATACAAAAATATATTCTGTAGTTTTCACGAAAGCCCAAAACACGTCACATGGCGCACATTTGCTGACAAATAAACGTGAATTTCTCGGTCCACGAGTATCACGACCGAGAGAACGAGTTAACATATACATATTTATTAACATATAATACCGTCACTAACAATACAAAGCCTGATGAAAACTGTAAAGGTTACGCTTTAACTGTGTCTTCATCTTTGCTTTGCTTTCAATTGTTTTAATTTAGTCATTAATTTTCCTCACAAAAACAAATCATGTTATTTGTGATGCAGAGAGCCACTTCCTTTTCTTCATGGGTGTCTGTATAGAGACACGACCAATCAGTTATTCATGATGCTTTAAGCCAACTGAGACACAAGTAACTAAACTCGCCTGCCACTCAAGGCACAACATGGCCTGTGACGTCTGTGCCTGCTTAAAAATGCCCATCCATGCAAGCATATAACCAATTTGACTGTAAAGAATCTATGTCTATGTGTCATTACTAAAACATACTGAGAGCTCATGACAGAAATGAGCAGACAGAGGTCAGACACTGACCCAGTCCTGCACCGATGACTCATGCGGAGGGAGACATGCGCAACTGACTCAAAGATGAATTTAGCTGAGTCCAGTCAGGTTCTCGTTCAGAGTTAAAATCCTCAGGACAAGAGTGGATTAGAAGCAGCAGCAGCTTTGAAAGCAAGACAAATCTAGCGTTATTTGCCATAACATCAACCAGCACAAAAAGATTTTAAAAAGGCTCTATTACTTACAAAAGTAGAAGATGTTTAAACTGTTTATTTTATCCTCATTTAATCTCAAATATATACTTTTGAATGGTAGTGATTAATGATAGAAAAGCTTTTCAATTCTGTTCTTTTAAATTTTCTATTCATCAAAGAATCCTGAAATAAAAATGTAAAAAACTGTTTTCAACATTTATGGTAATAATCATAAATGTTTCTTGAGCATCATATTATAATCATTTCTGTAGGATCATGTGACACTGAAGACTGGAGTAATGATGCTGTAAATTCAGCTTTGATCACAGGAATAAATTACACTTCACTATATATTCACATAGAAAACCGCTGTTTTAAATTGTAATAATATTTCACAATATTAATGGGTTTTTTTTTTTTTTTTTTATCAAATAATTGCAGCCTTGGTGAGCAGAAGAGACTTCTTTTAAAAACATAAAAAATCTTACGATCTAAAACTTTTGACCGGTAGTGTGTATATATATATATATATATATATATGTATATAAAAATATATATTAGGGATGCACCGATATGAAAATTTTGGCCGATACCGATAATTCTTTATATTTGAAAGCCGATAACCGATATATCGGCCAATAAACTTAAATCCAAATTTTTATCTAATTTTGAGAGCCTGATCACAAAAACAAAAGTCTCACAATTAAATCCATGTCCCAAGCGCACAATTATAATGATGTTCTCATTATAGTGTTGTATAGCCGATATGACAGATTTGCGTTGCACATGTTGTCCTGAACCAGATTTTCATTTTTTGAAGAGATTTAAATCATATTTCAAGAAATTCAAAAACATAAACAGTTCTCAACAAGTGTCTCAGCTGAAGGGAATAATACATTATTTATCGGCTTTAATATATCGGCCACATTTTCTCATTTTCCAGGCCGATAACGATAACATTAAAAATTAACATATATCGGCCGATACCGATATGCTGGCCGATATATCGTGCATCCCTAATATATATGTAAATATATATATATATATATTATTAATTTATTTATTTATTAAGAACTAATAGCTTAATTTTGACTTCAAATAAACATTCATTTACATTAAACAATCCATTTGCAGACCCCCACCCCACACACACACCAAAAAAAACACACCCTTGAATAGAGGAAAGCAGCAGAGGCAGCTGCTGAAGCCATCACTCTTTAATCTTCTCTCATTCATGAAATACTGAACCTCTTCCCAGCCAGTGCTCATGTTTGATAGATCCATTTTAGAAAATAAGCAGGGAATTAGAATAAAAGTACACTGAGAGGAGAGATAAGTACCCTTGAGTCTGTATCTCTGGGTATAAAAATGAGCACATAAAGATGACCAGAGAGCTTGACTCACATTAGGCCCGAACAAATGCGTCAATCAAAGGAAAAGAAGAGAAAAAAGACCAAGAGGATTCTTCACAGACCAATGCACTTGAGAAGAACAGGAAATGTTCTTCATCCTAATGGAGCCTCACAGACTCAAAGCATTAAAACATGAATCATGTAGCGTTTAGAGAGGAATAGAGCCTGATGAAGTCATTGTCTAGGTTAATGTGGTTGAATGTATTACAAAATTACTGGATTCCATAGACTTAACATGATTGGATGACAACTAGTGTAAAGATGAACAGAACAAGGAAGTGAGATGACCAACATAATTACAACAACAAAAATTTTGACGGCGGTGCTTTTTGTTACATATACGCACACACATCTTGTAGTGTATTACTGTGTAATTTTTTCCCCATAACAATCAAAGACAATGGTGTCCACTGACAGAAATTTCATTTTTAGGTGAACTATCGCTTTAAGAAAAGTAAATGGAAGGTCATCAAAAGTACATATCTTCAAGTTTGTGTGTGTGTGTGTGTGGTAAAGCAATTCCAAGGAGCATGAACTGGGCTGTTTATTCACCAGAGACTCCTGCCTTTGTTTTTCCCACACTTAAATAAAAAGACGTGAGGTCGGCCTGAAGGGACCGCTCAGTTTTTAGATATTCGCATGGATTGATGTGACCCCCGATTACAGCGAATGTCAAACGCATGCAAAGTGACGACATTACTGAGAGCAAGCCAGGCCAAATGACTACATTTCAAACCGGACAACATTTTTATAATGCTAGAGTGTTCTGGGCGGCTGCTAAGTGGCTACTTACTGTACAAGTCAAGAATATTCCGGTTTCAACAACAGTTTATCGTGTCGTTTCCAGAAGATATTCCTGAGATAACTCTGTGGATGAACTATCTACATAATATGTCAGTGTAATCTGGAAACACATCTCTCTCTCTCTCCCTTTCTCGACTCTAGGTTAAAGGCACAATATGTACGATTTTTAGATTAAAATATCCAAAAACCATATAATTTTTTTGACTTGTGAACTTACATTATCCCAAATGTTTTCATCAATGTTTAAATAGTCAGTGTAATGGCGCTCTTCGTTGTGTCGCCTGTCAATGATGTCATATCCGCGTTACGCTTGGTTTCCATCAAATAAACTGACCAACGTGAGCAGTAATTCTGAACTTTATTCTTTTATATTAGAATGAAATGAAATAATGTGAATTTAATGCCTGGATCAGATTACACGATTTTAGCCTGATTTTGGCACGATCCGGTTGACGTAGGGTGTCGTGGGGATTCGTAAACGACAACTGGCGTCGGGGCGCAAGATTCGATCGTATCATCTCGTATACTGTCATAGTGGGCGACAACCTACGTCGCGTCTGTGATGCTTCATGGCATCACGATAAAAAGACTAGTGTGTTTAATTTTTTTAACGGTCGTTCACGACGGTTCCGTCACATGTATGAGGTTGACCAATAGGTGCACAGAAGTTCACTTTTCCATACACAACTGACCAATAGGAGCACTTTTCCATACACAACTTTCAAAAATGGCGAAACGAAAGAGAGACGATGGTGCTAATGTTAAAACTAAAAGTACAAATATATAAGAAAACAATATTTTACTTCAAGTTCTCTTTGGAGGATTGACAGCCCACACTGTCCTCTTCGAGCAATCCAGGAACGTGTCCATTGTCGGGTTTTCTTTCTTTTTATACTTTTTTCTGAACACAGTACAGCCAACACAACACTCACCGCTTCATCTATTGTTTGTTTACGTTCGTTTCCGGAAGTCACTCGCGACTACTTTCGCCTTCTCGATGACATCACGCACGCCGTTAAAGATGGCACGCGATGACTGGTCAGGAAGCGACGTGTAATCTGACATGTTTCTTGTCCACCACGCGACAAGATTTTAGGAGTCTAAATGGCGTAATCTGACACAGTGACTATCGTAACAGACAAAAACAATTGTGCAATCTGAACCAGGCAGATTACAGTGATCAAATTTAACGAACGTTCAAGATCAAATTTAACGAAATTTCAAGATCAGGGAAGGAGGCGACGAACGTTAAACTTAATTTTAATCGTAAAATAAACATAAGCAACAAAACGAAAGGAGCGGCCACGCTCGACAGCGTCATGATTATTTGGACAAAATCCGTTAATTTGGGGAGTTCGAAACAACTTTCCAAAGCGGATTTTCTGGAAAAATTTGCTCAGACTGGTAAACGCATTCAGACTACCATTGGTCCATGGTGATTTTGTAATTAGTAGGTGTGGCTCTGTGGCTCCGCCTTCTGTATATTTCTTCTGTTCAGTTCGTTGAGGTCAGATGCGAGTAAAAACATGAGCACACTGGAGAGCTGAAGTTATTCTAATATTTGACAGAAGTCGTTGACAAAGTTTTTTTCATGTTTAACACTCTAAAGCTACTTGCTTTAATCGTATAAAGTGCTATATAAATAAATCACTATGATCGATCTTATTTGAAATATGAAATTCATATTCATTGTAGTAATTTGCTGAAACACAGTTAGTAGATGTTTTACTGGCAAGAATGTTGCTGTCTCATTGTGAAAGGAAAGCTTTCCAGGTCTTGTCTTTGTTGAATGTTCAAATGTTAACATTAGCATGCTTAGTCAAAACCAATGAGAACAATTTGGGCTTTACTATCAAAACAGTCTCTCTAATGAAAACAAGCTAACTATACTTTCCGCTTTCAAAAATAGACTGAATAGAAAACGAGACAGAAATATTTTGTGTTTAGCCGTTTTCAGTGCTAAACACCAGCTCAATCTCCAAGGATTCAGGAATGGATAAGATTATCAACAGGCCCAGACCATTTGATTCACGTATTCACTTCATCTATCCACTGTAATAGGCAAACAACTGCATACTCAACACATCTTTCTACTTTTACTGTAAACTACTACTAAACTTTCTACTTATAAAGACCTACAGTAAACACAGATGTTGTTCAGGCTTGGTATATGTCAGAAGCCACAAGTTATTTTTAATGTGTTTATAGATGAAACTAGAGATTTCTGAGAAATGCTGTTGAAAGTGGATCAGACCGGGCGAACACACGTGTAGCCAATCAGATGTGCCCGGTACTTAGGGTGAACCATCAAACAAGCAAAATGTGGGATGATGACTAAGTTTGTGTGGGACAAAGTGGGACATGTTACCAACACTGTGTCATAGCTGATAAAAGATCAGCTGATAAAAATCCTCCAGGTATATGTCTTAGCCCAGTCTTTCCTGAAATGACATTTTACCGAACAATTTTCTGAAGAAAATTAGCAGGAAAAATAGTGGACTTTAAAAGACACCAAAAAATTAGGTGGTAACTGTTTATGATTTCACACATTAGATAAATATCTGAAAGTTAATTTTCTTAAAAGGAGATCCACTCACCTGTACAACATCTATCCCTCTTTTCCTGAAAGAAAAAACAAAACAAAAAAAAGTTATTATTTTTAGCTCATGCCACAGGTTGACAAAAAAAGATATTTTTCATATTTTTTTTATTCAAGAAACAAATCGCAATGATTACATTCTGACATGGATAAAAATATCTGTTGCCTAGAAACAGAGCTGAGAGAGAAACCCTGACTGGCTGTAGTCAGAGCCATCAACCTGTCCACACAGCAAGGAACGACTGTCACAAAGCAAGCGCTAGTCAAACGTTAGAATTTACCCCAGTGTTTCTGCAAAACAACAGGACAAGCTGACACACAGAAATCGGTTTGCTCGGTTTGAGCGATCATATTTTTTGCACTAAAGTTAAATATTTGCTGCATTTTACTTATGCTTTGTAGTGAGATCCTGAAATAGGATCCAAAAATAAAGCATGCTGGTGGGGAAGCCCTTCGGATGATTTAAGGGGACATATAGCCTTTTCTTCACCATTGTGGCATTCATCCGAGTGAAACTGATCCTTGAAGAACAAGAAAAAAATAGGGCAAGACTTGATTTTGTCCATTGGGAATTGATAGGATTCTTGGTTTGCTATTGGTTGATCTCATGTGAGTGACTGGATGCCCCTCCCTCACGGCAGGAAACACATCATCAGAGAAGAGATAAAATATTATGAGGCACATGAAATTTAAAGGGATATTTAAAGGGATATATGTTTTAGCTTACCTCAAGGGCAAGGGTTTCCACAGTATTTTCAATATTGATATTTTTAGGTCAAACCGTTCTTGTCTGTCAGTCATATAATGCAGGTCTATGGTCACCACCTCTGGATCACTTGGACGTGGCTGTGGTTACAAGAGGTAAAAACGATATAAATACTGTTCGTTTTCTCACACAAACCGCTCGTTTCGTGTCTTAGGCCATCAATGTGTACTTACATTTACGAGTCATTAAATCATGTTTAATTGGGACTTCTCTGTGCATGCTCTTTGAGGTGGTGACCATAGACCTGCATTATATGACTGACAGACGAACGGTTTGACCTAAAAATATCAAAATTGAAAATACTGCGGAAACAAAGACGCCTACATCTTGGATGCCCTTGAAGTAAGCTAAAACATATAAAAATTAATTTCAAAGTGAACTATCCCTTTAACACACACACAAAAAAATGTTGTGCACATGCAAATAATTTATCATAATAAATACTAAAATATTCCATAAAAATATGAATTGCCAATTTAGAGTTTATGGTGACTGAGAAGCCAGGCAACCATTTTCTTTTTTGTGTCAGATTATTCCACAGCAATGTCAAAATAATCACGAAGGGTATGAGCCCGAGCTTATTCATTATTCTGTCAGAAAACATCATGAGGGGGTTTGTGGGAGTTATGTCAAGTTTCAGTGGAGACAAGACTTTTCTGTGTGGGCTCGTTCATTCATTATGAAAAGAAGATTATTGAGATTAAAAAATATGGATATGGAAGTGAAAAAACATTTGTCCAAAATTCCAACTGGTTCTGTCTGAGACTCTGTGTGAACAGACAAAACATGCCTCAACTTTTCCTAAATGCGGAGTATGTTGTCAGTATTACATAACTCAAAATGTGTGCCGGAAGGCAGGAAATAATGAAACCTGTTGTTTAAGGAAAGCAATTAAAAGTAACTTTTTTTAACTGTACAAATCAGAGGTCCTTGACTAATATAGCCTGAAGGCACTCAGACGTCAACAGTCGCTCAGAAACCAACCAGAAGGACGTTTCTCAAAAGCATTGTGAGCTAAGCTGATCGTAGAGACATTGGTGCCAATGATTTGGAAAGCCTTATCGATACAACACAGCCTCTCGTACCTTATTGCTTACATACAAAATAATTTTACACAGTACACACACATATATTATGTAAACAGGAACTTTTATTTTGGATATGTGTAACCCCTCACACCCGGGTCCTACTCGCCCCGCTCCGAGCGGGCCTCGAACCCGGGTCTCCGGCATGAGAGTCAGGCGCGCTAAGAAGGAGGCTAAAGACTGCAGCCTCTAGCATCTGTCGCATCTAGCGCCTATTGAGATCGGGGAGTGAGGTTTACTCGCACAGCAACTACTAGCTGGCCTCCGTTACACTCACCCCCCTAAACCTCACTCTCATCCGGGTCACGGCACCAATGTAACCCCTCACACCCGGGTCCTACTCGCCCCGCTCCGAGCGGGCCTCGAACCCGGGTCTCCGGCATGAGAGTCAGGCACGCTAAAGGTCAATTTATACTTCTGCGTCGAGGGTACGCCGTAGTGTACGGCGTTGGCTTCGCACGTAGGCGACGCCGTTGTGAGCATTTATACTTCTGCGTTCAGGTATTGGTTGCTCTGCAGTACTGCTCCGAAACGCTAAGAGGCGGCGGAGGGTTTTATTGTTCCACTGTGTTTAGATTCCTCGCGGCTAGGTTACTACAAGCAATAGCGACTGAAAGAGAGTGGATCATGCTGGAGTTGGAGCTTATTGGGGTGGAAAAACAGTTCATTTTAGTGAAATTACTAAAACTGAAAGGCAGAAATGAGAGAAGACGTCGGAGGAGATGGTACGTGTGGAAATGCGTATGAGGAAATATGATGCTACCAAGCCGACCAATCACAGATCTTGCGGTCCGCGTCGTCGCGACGTGTAGTTACATTTTTGAAGAGGTGCGCGTCAGGCAACGCGGAAGGGTACGCGGTATGGGACGCGTCTGTGCGTATGCTACGCCGTACCTACTGCGCGCACCCTACGCAGAAGTATAAATTGGCCTTAACAAGGAGGCTAAAGACTGCAGCCTCTAGCGTCTGTCGCTAGAGCGCCTATTGAGATCGGGGAGTGAGGTTTACTCGCACAGCAACTACTAGCTGGCCTCCGTTACATATGATTAATCATTTCACAGCCCTAGATCAGTTACATCTTGCCACCCACATAAAGGCATTCTACGAGGATATAGAAATAGAATTAGATCAAAATCAGGCAATTATGTTATAATTATGACACTTCTGCTTTGATTGAGGCAAGATATTCTACCAATCTTTAAAAAAAAGTCAATGGCTGAAGTTATCCAGAAGAAACAGAAGTATTGTGTGAGAGGAGACTGAGCCGGGTCACAGTGACAGATCACGGCCGCTGGAGTCAGAGATACGGGACAGAGCTGATGCGTGGCTCAGATTTCATTCGTTTCATTCTATTATCTATGTGAGGCAAAATATTGGATAGAGAAAACACAAGATAGCGAGCAAAAGCCCTTTTATTATGACTGAGATACGAAGGAGGTTAAAGGGAGCAGTCCAAGAGAACAATGTGCTCAGTTTCAGACAAAAACTCATCAAGGTTAAACTAATAAAGTCATGTTTAAGAGGAGATGAGACAATCTCCAAGAAAAGTTGTTGTTGAACGGTTTCATTTTGATTTTCTCCTCTTTTGACTGCAGCAAAAAAGTACAGGTGCACCATTCTGGAGAAATTGAGCAAAATAAATTGAAATCGAGTTAATAATTAATAAGTTGATAAAGTAATCATCTTCCTTGCTTCTGAATAGACAAACTATTCAAAATAACATGTAATTTACTAGAGGTCCTGACAAAATTCTATTTAAAAAAAAATATTTCATTAATTCGATTTTTTTTTTTAATCGGGTTGAATGAATGATTCAATGACTCACTCATAAAGACTCATTACTGGATGAATCAGCGTTTTTGTAATCTCTTGAATGAATGATTTAATGACATTCGCATTTTTTAAGTCACTTGTCGCCACCTACTGGTGTAACAATGCCATTGATACAATCTTTATTTGAAACTCAAAGTACTTTTACAAGGGGATCACTACAGTATCAGTGTTTATCTGAACTGTAAAAGTTTATCCCAGTACTTTTGTGATAATCTCTACTATTGTAAGAATAATGATCATGTGGTATAAATGTATCCTGTTTCTGAAGATTTACACACAGTTGAATCGCTGTCATTTACGAATAAGATCGCGTGGGTGTTCGAACCAAGATCGAAAACTTTTAACGATTATTTGTGAAGCTGTACAATAAAGTGTCTAAAAATATTTTTAGAATTTTTAATACATTATATTGTGAAAAATAAAAATCACATAAATGGGATACAGGATATATCTCTACCATACCAGTTATCATTATTTATTTAAGTTATTATTATTTATTTATTTCATTTATTGATATCGGTCACTATCGGTTATTTAATTGTGCACACTAATTGTGTATTTTTAAAGTGAATCTTAAATAACTAATAATTATTAGTGAGAATGGGACACTAATCTAAAGTGAACATAAATTGATATGGAGTTTTACAGATTTGTGTCTCAATAAACTCATAACTACTGCTTATTAACAGTTAGTAAGGTAGTTGTTAAGTTTAGGTATTGACTATAGAGTAAGATTAAGGAATGTAGAATATGGTCATGGAAAATAATGCATTAATATGTGTTTTACTAAACAGCCAATATCCTAAATAATATGCATGCTCATGCTCAAGCAACTAGTTAATAGTGTGAATTGGACCCTAAACTAAAGTTAAAACTTTTTTTCAATTATCAGTCATAAAAAAAAAATGTTTTTATCAGATTAACAGAATCTAAAAATCAGAATCCATATACACACTAAAAAATACTGGGTTATTTCAACCCAAATGTGGATCAAATATGGACAAACCCAAATGTTGGGTTAAAAATGTAATAAAAAAAATTACAGTTGAAAGTGAAAGTAGAAGTTGGCTAAAAAATTTTTTGGCTTAATACATTTTTAACATTTGTGTTTGTCCATATTTGACCCAGATTTGGCCTAAAACAACCAAGCTTTAGTGTACATAAAATATAAAATGAATAAAAATGTGGACTTTGTGAAAGATTTGTTTTTTTATCTGATGAGCACAAAGTCTAAACACAGCCTTATGTGCAATTCAAAGATAGCGTCCATGCTTTACAGAGCACATTCATTGCACAGGCCTGTAACTGGTACACGTGTGGTTTAGTTACACAGCACATACACAACGGCACCAACCGTGATGCCTCAGCCAACTTCCTTAAAAATATGATTACAATACTCCACCTGAACTTCCTGTCAAATTTAGTCAAGCAGACCTTCAGAGTGCCAGCACTGAAAGGTTACTCAATGTCAATAGTACGTCAAACACATCTGTCAATCCTCCATCAGACTTGTTCAATTTTAAACCAAATCTATTTGACAAGATTAATAAACATTCTGTGAAATGTTTGAGCAGGACAAGAAGGGGGTTGGAAATGGTGACCTCATTTCTTAGAGAGCACAATCATGACCTTTCTAGAGCTCTGTTTATCTCTGCAGCGAGCGGGGACTGCTTATGACCTCTACAGGGAATATCAAAACCATTGGCCGTCTGGGACAGGACACACACACACACACACACAAACGCACGCATATGTTGGCGGGCAAAAGCCTTGTGGTTACCAAAAACACAAACCGCTTCGGTCTCACTCGTCTGTTGTTGCTATGCTTCCCATGTTGCCCTGGTTACAAACAAACTGGAACATTAGCTTGTTTAGTGTGTATCCCTAACCCTGAGGCAGAAAGAGGGGGTTAGAGCTACACACATTCATAATACTTCACTGTAAAAAAATATTGTTGGTTTAACTTAAAAAAGTAAGTAACCTGGGTTGCTTTAAAATTTTAAGTTGATTGAACTGGAAAAAGTGAGTTAATATGAAGGAGATTAATTTAACCATCAGAAACTCAAATTTATATGTTATCTGAACTAAATAAATTATTTAAGTTGATTTGACAAAAGAAAAAAATGTTGTGATTACTACAATGTAAAAAAATATTGTTGGTTTAACTTAAAAAAGTAAGTAACCTGGGTTGCCTTAAACTTTTTTAAGTTGATTGAACTGGAAAAAGTGAGTTAATACAATGAAGGAGATTAATTTAACCATCAGAAACTCAAAATTATATGTTATCTGAACTAAATAAATTATTTAAGTTGATTTGACAAAAGAAAAAAATGTTGTGATTACTACAATGTAAAAAAATATTGTCGGTTTAACTTAAAAAAGTAAGTAAGCTGGGTTGCCTTAAAATTTTAAGTTGATTGAACTGGAAAAAGTGAGTTGATACAATGAAGGAGATTAATTTAACCATCAGAAACTCAAAATAATAAGTTATCTCAACTAAATAATTTGATTTGACGAAAGAAAATATGTTGTGATAACAAATCTTGAAAATATTTTTTACAGTGTACAAATCATGCCGATTGCTTGGGATTTATTACTTTACTCCTAATGATCAAATGACATTTCATCTGCCAGACAAAAAACGGTGTAAGGATGCTCGATAATTTCCGCCGATTGTAGTCCAATGCAATACCGAGAATTTATATTGAATTTATACTAAAGAAACGTTAAACAGATAAAACAGACACCCCTCGTTGTGTTTATGCTTCTTTTTAAAATTATATTCTATATATAAAATTACATCTAAACGTATGTACGTTTCGTTTCAAAGACGGGAGGACAGTAAATTTTGAAGACTCTGCCATAAACCCGTTTTCCTCGGTTTACCTCCGCTTTAATCTCCACAACCGGAAATGGACGAGCATCCTTGCGTCAAATGCGGAACTTAAGCGTGCATATAGCCTATACCACCTGTCTCCAAATTAGCTAGCTAGCTCAACTTCCTGTTTTAATAAAAAACATAGATTTGCAATGAATGAATAACAATATATTTTGTCTGTTTCTCACACAAAGCTACTATATGGCTTTAAAAGACTTAGAATAGACAAGTCTTTGACTTTCTTCCATTGCAGTTTGGAAAGACATGAGGGTGAGTGAATGATGACAGAACTTATTTTTGTGTGACCTGTCCCTTAAAAAAAAGTGCTAATGCGTAACACACAAAAGCGTATCCCTTTGTTCACTGGCTGACACACTGATCACATTGTTGTATTCCCCCGTTCCTTCGCTTTCTCCAACCCCGCCACACAATTCCTCACACACAGTCACAGCCAGTGGGGAAATCCGATGCAACGCTGGCTTCACACATTACACAATTGTCCATTCAGCTGGAGACAGAGACAGAGGGGCACAACGAGCAAAGCGTAAGACACACACACACACACAATCTTCCACTACACCACACACTTACGACACACAAACCGCTGCGTGTAACATTAACCCTTTGCCGGTCCATTAATTCAGTTTGCTCAGGTTACACAAGCCATACAAACACAGCGCCCAAGTGCAACGTCCAAGTGCTTTGCGATGCCAACTCTCACTCATTCACTCTCTCTCTCTCTCTCTGAATGCTGGGTAATAATCCAGGGGCCTTTCAATGATGAGTAAGCCAATCTGCCCCAACTGCAAAGTCATAGGGAACAGAAGTGCTGGCACTGTTAAAACACAGCTAGGCCAAGATTGGTCACCTACACGCACCATGTAAAATCATTCAAGGGTTTCATAGTCTGTTTCGCAGAGATGCTTTATCCAAAAAATGTATTCCACAGGCTTGAGGAAAATACTGCAAATATTTTACGGTACGCTCTGCAAATTGCCCTTTTGACATTGTGCATTGTGAAAGGAACAAAATAGATGACTCTTTAAACAAATTAGAGCTGCATGATTAACTGTTAAAAGATTGTGGTCTCGATTCAAACACCCACACAATCTCATTCCTAAATGACAATGATTCGCCCCAGAAGTCCTGTGATAAAAGTGTACAGTTTGGACATAAACACTGACTGACGTCTACGGTGCTAATCAAAATAGACCGAATCAGCTTTTGAAAGTAACTTGGCTCTTCAAAAAATGTTTGTGTTGATTACATAGGTACACCAGTAGGTGGCGACAAGTGACTGTTAGAAAACGTGTGTGTCATTTAATCATTCATTCATTTCAAAATTTGCTCATTTAATAAATAAATAACAAAGTTTAAGTTTTAAGTTTCTCTCCTGTTCGAACTCGTTCATCAAAATGAACGAATCTTTTACAAGTCAATTCGTTCGTTGAATAACCCAAATGACTCGGAAAAAGATTTGTTCATTTTAATGAACGAGTTCAAACAGGAGAGTCACATCACAGAACGGAGCAAGGCGAGCATTTGAGCTTGTAAAACGTAAACGTTGTTATTTTTTTTTAAAAGAGCGATTGTTTCACTTGATAAGACCCTTATTCATCATATGGTGTCGTTTAAAGCCCTTTGAACAGTTTGCACTGAAAGTGTCTTTTGGACCTTGAACCGTTTGGTTCCCATTGAAGTCCATTATATGGAGAAAAATCCTGGAATGTTTTCATCAAAAACCTTAATTTCTTTTCGACTGAAGAAAGAAAGACATGGACATCTTGGATGACATGGGGGTGAGTAAATTATCAGCAAAAGTTTTTTGAAAAGTGAACTTCTCCTTTAAATCAGATGCACAGTCTGTCAACCTAAACAAACATTTCCGCTAATGAGACACTTCCACAAGAAATAGTGTCTTAACATGCATCTTTGGTTAACATGGCTCTCTGCTGCACTGTATTACACAACCTCAAGCAACCTTCCTGGATCTTTCTCAACCACAGTTCAAAGTCCTTTCTATGAAGAAAACATTCAGGAAAAGAAATACCATCACACCTTTTTATTCAAACAACTCGATCTGAGCAAAAGCAGACACAGAAAGCAGCTGTTTTGGATGAACAGTGAAAGCCCAACAGCTGATGGATCTATATTCATCTCTCACCTGCACATCTCTGCAAAGGCCAGGAAATTGAGTTTCTTCATCTTCTTCTCGCTGAGCCAATAGCCCACTCGTCTGCCTCTCAGGAAAGTCTGCATTTCAGCTGCGGATGGCCAGATGTGACCGTAGTGCCACTCCAGTGAAAACAGGAAACAGGAGTCTTCTTATACAGCCCTGAGAAACCAAAGCCACCAGAGATTATCATCAGAGCCTGAAATGATGAAACTGTGAAAAGTGTTAAGTCCAATAACTGACACTGAACAAACAATAAAGAGGCTCAAATGTTTCTGTAGATTTACAAAAACAGATTCTGGCCAATATCAATGCTCACGTCGGACTGTGGATCTCCACGCAAACCCAATGAACCGCCTAGCTAAACTGAACGTTTGGGTATCACAAGCACGTCAGTTGGAATGTCAGTGAGTTTCAGTGTCAATTTAAAACATCATGAGAAATCAAAGGTTCTAATTTACAAAAAAATGTATGCATTACAGCCAAGTACAAGAATTTTTTTTTTTTTTTTATCATTCAATTCGAACGCCTGAACTATTTAAAGATCTGATGAATCAATTATGGAATAAAACTGGAATATTAGATGCGTCATACTTCTTCAGTGTTAAGATTGGATTTGAACATCTGCTGCATTATATGTGAATTCAAAAGGTTTGATTGAGCGCAAGTGTGAAAGCTCTTGGAACGCGCAGCATTATTCAATGTGTTGACATCATTTCCACTGAAACAGGAAGACAGAGCAGCTCCTCCCCTTTTTAAAAATAGCCAATACTGTTTACAGGGTTAGTTCACCCAAAAATGAAAATTAAGTCATTAATTACTCACCCCCATGCTGTACCAACCCCGTAAGACCTTCGTTCGTCTTCGGAACACAAATAAAGATATTTTTGATTAAATTTGAGAGCTGTATAACTACCACATTGGCTCCTAAGGGACTGCCTCTTGACGTCCCAAAAAGTCAATGAAGAAAATGTTTAAATATTCCAAGTGACTACCGTGGCTCAACTATATGTTTATCAAGCGACGCGAATACTTTTTGTGCGAAAAAACAAACAAAAATAACGAGTTTATTCGACTATTTCTTTTCTTCCTTGTAGGCCAGAACGAGACTTCCTTATAGATTTCCACGACGCATGCGTGAGATTTGCGATCTGCTTACACCAGCTTACACTACTTCAGATCGCAATTCTCGCGCATGCGTCGTGGAAATCTATAAGGAAGTCTCGTTTCTGGCCTACAAGGAAGAAAATAAATAGTCGAATAAACTCGTTATTTTTGTTTGTTTTTTCGCACAAAAAGTATTCGCGTCGCTTGATAAACATATAGTTGAGCCACGGTAGTCACTTGGAATATTTAAACATTTTCTTCATTGACTTTTTGGGACGTCAAGAGGCAGTCCCTTAGGAGCCAATGTGGTAGTTATACAGCTCTCAAATTTAATCAAAAATATCTTCATTTGTGTTCCGAAGACGAACGAAGGTCTTACGGGGTTGGTACAGCATGGGGGTGAGTAATTAATGACTTAATTTTCATTTTTGGGAGAACTAACCCTTTAACTTATATCACATCTTGGCCAGAGCCGTTGAGCTCAGCAAAGCCACAGTTTCCTCCTAATCTCCTCAATTAGTATTGATATAATTGTTACATTTAATTTATTGCCATACTTAAATATGTTAATTATATTATCAAAAAAACTGAACATTTAGCATTGTCAGGCTTTTATTTGTGCTAAAACAACGCACTCGGCTGCTCATAAACATGGCTGCTATGATTTTGACCTGTCACAAGATGGCGCTTTTTTTTCGAATCTTTTCCCGAAACATTTGGGGGAAAACCTCAGTGCTTCATGAGGCTTCATTTGCACATCCCTATGACTCGCGCATATGATCCGCTCTATGCTATTGTGTCTCTGGACTGGTTTGCCCCAACAGAATTCATATTTACCCTGTCTGAATCATTCCCTATCCCCTATGTAGTGCACTTTATGCCATTCGCCATGCAGACAATAGTAAATGTGTGAACAAGTGACCGATTTCAACTGCAGCTTCAGCGTCTATTTATAGTGTTGGGGGCGGAGCTTCAGATTCTAGAGAGCATTTGAATGGACAGAAGCTGATGTCATCAAAATCACTGATCCATATCGGCAGACGAGAGAGACTGTGAGTTTTGAATGCTTATATCTTCTAGATGTGAATTTTGCCATTGTTTCAGAGCACACTAGCTTATAAATAACAGAAAGGTTAAAATATTCATACTAAAATCACAACAAAAAAAAATCAGTTTCATGGGGACTTCAATGCATTTATTATGCAAACGTTCTCTGAAAATCTCTCAAAACCTCATTGTTGAGTTCAGAGCCTTGAGAGTTTGAACGTTAGATTTAAACATACGATGCACAACAAGCGAGTCAAAAACACTTGATAAACATGTGACTTTGAACTTTATAAAAAAAAAAACATTAAAAGTTTCATAGGCGAGTTTGACGCATTGTTCGCGGGCTTAACTTTATATTAACAATTTTTAAAAAATTAACATACAATTAATCATATGCGTTATGCGAGTTCGAAAATTCTATGCGAACATTTAAAGCTTTACGAGCGAGTTCGGAACTTCAATTTATATTTTAAAAAATAAATAAAAGGATGCGTCGCATTATGCGAGTTTAAACGTTTATTCGAATAATCGATCCGTAACAGGCGAGTCTGGGCGAAAGATTCGAACACGTGACGCATCACAGAAGAGTCGAAAGTTCCCGATCGTTAGAAAGCACCGAGATGCCCACATATGCTGTCCAGGAAGGGGGCTCACTAGAATTTGAAACACAGCCAATGTGTCCCTTCTGGTTCAAGACTTATTTTCACTGAATCAGAATATAAATACAGTTGATCCTAACGTTACCCATTATACATATTCTGTTCATTTTTGAAAACATATAAATGGCAGGTATGTAGGATCCAGTAGGACCCCTGGAATCCGCCATAAACATCCCATTCAGCAGCAGCGCAAACAAGCTAGCACAGTACGTACTTTCACATTCAGATCATCTCAAGTCTTACTGGTGGACGTGAGAAAGCTTCAACTCTAGTATTCTCCCCGTTGGACACACTGAAAGAGCAGATGCAGCGAAGTAAATACCTGTCTAGCGCATGTTTTCGGACTCCGGGTGGATAGCAGTTAGCTAGCTGGAGGACAGTCTGGTCTCCATGACTCGTGTTGTTGTCTGTCTGTCGCTGAGACTGAGAATTAAAGGCTCTCGAAGATGATCAGATGAATCAAATGCGTTCAGCTCTCAGTCCAGACACCTAGAGAGCGAGCACTGCCTCCTCCTGAGGTGGGGCTGGGCTCAGTTCAGTCCAGCTAGCGTGTGTGTGTGTGTGTGTGTTCCTCCTAAAGCATGACAGGAGGTTTACTGCTGCTGCTGCTCAGCGCCTGAATCCACTGTGTGAATGTTGCCGCGAGGGGGCGCTAGTGCAACACAATCTCTTATTTTGAGAAGTTCATTAGCAGAAAACAAGCTATTAGTTTTTTGGATGGAAAATTCTTGTTTTCAGCGTGTCTTGCGTAAAAACAGCAGTAAATCAGGCTTTATAAACAACGGGTGTATTCTGTATTTTTTTTTTGGTAATGTTTGATTTTAAGGTCCTAAAATAGATGAAGATTTATGCTGTTGCTCCTGCCTGGATAGCCTCACTAAAAAACATCTTGCTGACCCCAAACTTTTAAAGGTAGATGGTGTATATAAGACATGTATGTGTGTATAAGCAATGTAAACATTAATTATTTTTTACAAAAAATAATAAATGTACTATTATGATATATACTTATGTACTTGTGATATTTGTTTAGCATTGCAACGAGCAACTGATTCTGTATGAACACATTTATTTCTATATATTATGAAGTGAAATATGACTGAATTGACAGTTTTTGTGGGATTCATCCATTTCTACTTTAATTTGCATTTTTGTCTTGATTTGTAACCCCTTCAATAGTTTACTAAATCCTGCTCACACGTGCTTTAAATAAACAGAAGAGAGAAAAGAGCAATAATACACCAGGGAGCAGATGTTTAATGCTTGTATGTTTGTACAGCTAACATTTCATTGAAGCACTGAGTTGAACAGGTAGACAAAAATAAAGGCCCCACAAGACAAACACAGAAAAACCCATTATGTACAACATATAAAATATATAACTTCCATAATCTTTGGGACTATATGTACAAAGGTTTAAAAATATATATTTACATATACAAAGCATATTCACGGGAAATTGAGAATAAAAAAACAGAAGTGCTTCTGACAGCAATGCACAGGTCATATGAACACCGGTGGAGCTCCTCAGCGTCTGGCGGCAGGGCTGGCGAGGAGACCCAGGATGGTGGACAGACAGTGGAGTTTCTCTTTCACCAGCTCTGGTAACTTCTCATTCTCTTTATACCTGAGAGGACACAGACAGCGTGATGATTCAGAACAGGAGCACTACCAACATGCAAAAAAAAAAAAAAAAAAAAAACAGACCTCATTTCATGGTTTTAAGAAATGTCGCTGGCCTTATCATGCGATTATAAAAGTTATATACATTGCAAATACAGTCATTGTTCTTAAATTATTTTTTGAGTTTTGCCATGACAAGCTTTACCTGGTGATTCGTCCATCAGGGGAAGTAAAAGTGATGCAAGAGACACCAACTTGGACCATTAGCTGGGATCCGTCATTAAACTGAACCCATACCTCGCCACTTGTAAGCTAAAAAACAAAAATACATATATAAATCAACTGAATTTAATGGTAAAACTATAAATAAGCACACATATAAATATATATTATTTATATTTTATGTTTGTAGATATATCGTTTCTAAATATGCAATTTATCTAGTATTATTTATGCATAGTGGTAGATGTATAATAAGTATAATACAGGGTTATTATCGTTAAACTCAAACCCAAAAAAAAAAAAACATTTTCATTACTTGAATAAAATAAACATTAACTGAAATCAAAAAAAAAAAAAAAAAAAACTTAAACTGTTTCTAAATACTAAAATGGAATAAACTAAAATTTTATAAAAAATATATGGACATAATATAGACAAAACAAATAATGGCAAAAACTTTTCTAAAGATTCTTTAGAAAAATTCTAAATATGAACAAAAACTATAGTAGTATATCAATAATAATAAATTACACTATGATGAATGGATTACTAAAATAAATTAATAAATTATTATTAACAATGACAGACAATATGAAAATTAATATTTATTTGAAAGCAAAAAAATATGTATGCATATGTATATATTTATTTAACAATAATAAAAAGACAAAGTTTAAATGAATCTTTATATCACTAAATTATCCAATCAAACACTTTACCTGAGAGGCCCAGCCAATGTTCGGCACAAAAATGGACTTGAGCACCTTCCCTGTGTTAATGGTGCGATCATCTTTGCCTGATTGAGGAGAGCTGCCTTTAGCCACACTTGCTGTGGTGAAGTCTGATCCCGTGTAGGAAATCATCTAGGCATGAAGAAGACAAATGAGTTACTGTTAATGGGAAATTCTATTTCAGAGGGGGACGTACTCTGAAATAAACAGATGACTTACTGACGGTGTGATGTGTGGTGGCTGGGGCGGACTCACACACACCTGAGCCACCTCTGCAGGAGCCGCTGTGCCGGAGCCAGAGGAACACTGAGGCTGAGGGGCTGGGAGAGCTGGATTGGTGGGTCTCCTGGTGGAGCATAAGACAACCAGTGTGAGACATCTCATGTATGACATTTAGGGTCTTTTCAGACCTGTTGTTTGTTTGCTTTGTTCCAAAACAGGAACTTCACTGCATTTTCTTCTTCCAATCCAATCCAACTTTATTTGTTAAGCACTTTTAAACAACCAAAGTTGGTTCAGCTTCACAAGGCAGCATTTCAAATCGTACCAATCAATGCAAGTCAGAGTGTAAATTTTACTGAATGCAGCCTTAGTTTGACGCTTTATCCACTCCCTTCATCCACATCCACTTCAATAAGTAAAGCTGTCCTCTTAATTGGTCAGAGTTTCCTCTGTGTCATCCATGAAGATGGATTAAAAAGTTCACTCTGCATGAACGTGACTGCAGTGTTCATATATGCCTAAACGAACCGAATTAATGAAAAAAACGCGTTAGGTTCCCAAACAAACGAGCCAGTTGTGAAAACGGCAACGCCCATAATCTCAACCAATAGTATGGGTCTAGCTTTAGTGAGCTGGTGAAGGTTGCCGGTATAAACACAAGCCTTACCTGCCGATAGTGATGGGAAAGAATTGAGTGTTTTTAGCACTGCGCTGCTCCTCCGCAGTAATCGCCACTTCCAAAGACAGACACATTCGATGCCCCTAAAAAAACACAAACAATCTTGGTCAGCATATAACTGTATTAAGCAGCACAACCAGACATCTGAGAGCCCTAAAATAAACATGAAAGCTTTAAACGTGCACCAATCAAAATGCAGAATTCCGTAGGTAATGCATTACCTCCTCAGAGAGCTCCATGTAGACTCTGCACTCAGGACTCAGTCCACTCAGCCCAACATCACCCTTCATTGTATACGATTTCCCGCTCTTCTCCACCAAACGCACCTGTTCACTTGTCTTATGGGTTTTTGCACCTAATGACCGATAAAAGAATGCTTAAGCCTAAATCAAATACACTACACACAGTTCATTCGTCTGAGATGATCTGTGCCGCTCACCATCGTAGAAGCACACCTCCAGGTCTGCATTAGGAGTGTTCTCCATCAACATGCACTTGGCAAACTTTGTGTACAATGTGACTTTGGGGGTCTTCGATTTCACCAGCTGCACAAACTTTGTGGCATACTGATACTTCTTCCAGTATTTTTCTGCAGGGAAGAGTCAAATAACTATGAATATTACAAACATCTTGCTTTCAAAAGCTGTCTCAAGTCTTGAATACGTCACTGTACCTGGTAAATCCTCATAGCTGCAGATGAGAATGTCTTCAGGTGGTGAGGGCGGGTGGTCCAGCACAGGAAAACCTTTACCTTCATTGGGTTGGTACACTGTAACCTAAAAACATGGTAACAAATACAAGAGCATGGGAATTAGGGAATAACAGATATTGATAATTAATAGACCCTTTTCACACTTTCGGGGTTCTCAGAAGCAGAAGTTGTTATAGTTGGGTAAACTTAGTGGTGAACGGGAGATAACAGCAAAGATAATTTTATTGTATTGTATTTGTATTCTATACAATACATTGTATTTGTTGTTATTGTATTGTATTTGTTCCAACAGCAAAAGGAAAAAATGTGATAGAGTTTCCAAAAGAGGGAAAAAGTATAGAGCGTTTAATTACGTTGGTAAAATTTGTCACTCCCTCAGCCTTTGTATTAGAAACACCCTCGCAGTTGTTTTTGTCATTTACTGACAAGTTAATATAACACAATATATAGCGTTATAAATGTGTATTTCATTTTTTTTAATTAAAAACTTTACTAGATGTTTTCTTGCAATGTTGATAACTGTGGAAACATGTCATCCGTCTTTAAAAAAGGGGCCATTGTTTCCCAATCAATAGAGGGTAAACTAAATCACACTATTAACACTTAATAATCATTTGCTAAAAAAAAAAAAACATGTGCATTACAGCGGCACGATTCTGGATAAATTGAGAATCATGGGGGGTTTTTTTTCTGTTTTTTGGAACAGAGATGATGATTCTGATCAGACAACTAAACAAAATAACATGTAATTTGCTAGAGGTTCTGACAAAATTTTAAATGTTTTAACAAGATCAGTCCATCTCTAAAGTTTATCTCCTTTTTGAAAATGTTTTATACATCCTGTAACTTCCGCACATTAATTAATTACACTATATTACATGAATTATTGATTTTCTAGTCCCTCACCATGGATCCATCACAGGATATCCTAAGTACTTCTTTGACTCTCTCCTGAGATCCTTGTCCTTTCAGCAGCTCCAAACACACCTCTCCAGACTCCAGAATACTAACCTAAAGAAATACACACTGTTGTCACAATATGTTGTTTAAATGACCAATTCTAACTTATCAGTTCTGTCCAGGGCTCCAACTCAAAGTAAACTGGACACACACATATGAACATATACACAAACAAAAGCATCTTTGAAACTATGTGTATTGTGAAAAGCGCTATACTGTTAAATTTGACTTGAGTTTTACCCATTATAGGAGATAAATGGCTTCACTCACCACAGCATTTTTGGTCTTTTGTCTGATGGGCTTGAGTCTGGCAGCACAGAGCGGAGGGAAGCTCTTTGTAGGACACAACTTCTCTTTCTTCTCTGTGTTTGCTTTGCCTTTGGAAAGGGGTGGACCCAGAAACTGCAGATCTGAGTAGCCCTGAGGTTCTGACACGTGTCCTGATCCAAACCCA